CATTGTGCAAAAATTGTGATGCGTGGAAGTACGAAATGTACTTTGTACTGCAAATGCGATCGCTCATTTCGAGTTGCGCACGCGGCAATGTGTTAAAAATTCTGTGCGAATTCCTCTTACTGAATACAGTATTGTTTGAGAAAGAAGTTCCGTGTACTTGCACCACGCATATAATGTCGTGCTTCAGTTCTTTGTGTTATCACTGTATCAAATTTAAAGTAAATGTTTACATATCAAGATATACGCGACGAGTATGACTAAACGTTAGAAAACCAGCCGTACTTGGACGCAATTAAGATCTCATTGTCATATAGGTAGAACGCTGGCCCACTCATTCTTCCTCTATGCAGTAAAGTGTATAGGACCACTGTGCATGTGCGTTTTTTTTTTTTTGCATTATCAACAAGTACGACTATTGAACAAATATACTTGTGTATTAGTTTTACTTATTGGTGATGAAAAAATGATGATGATTACTCATGCACATTTAGTTTCTTAATTTGAAGCGAGGTTTACTGTTACTGAGACATGGCTACATATACTGCCTTGAGATTGAGAAAAAAAAATAAAACATATTTATTGACCATTAAAGTAGACCCTCTTCGGCTCAATATAAATTCTTCGGCTTGATATGTAGGCCTTCTTCCGCTCCAACAAGTTACTCATGCTCGCATCAGTACAAATAATGGTTACTATGTTTTACCATGAATGTCGGGCCTTTTAATATATCTGTACTGATAAACGCTTCAAATAGTTGGTAAAACTGGAAAGGTTGCTGCGCTGAATGCTGAAACTATTAAACATGAAAAATGATAACAATAAAGACAACTGCACGCCTGACGTGCCTACCGTGCAATTGTGTCTCTTTTATTATGCACTACAAGGAAATGCGATCGTACATTGATCGATCAATGAATAGTTAAAAGTGATGCCAATTAATTCCTACAAAAAGCTCAATTCGCTCCCGGCATTTCTTAATAGGAACGATTTGGTTAGTACAGTACTTACCATTATGACCCGTGAAAGCCTAACAATAATAATTACGCTAATACGTGCGTTCACTTTTTTTTTTTCGCTAAACCATCGAATGGTATGAACACAGCCACTTCCACACATGTGCCCCACTGTGTCAGAGTACGCGGATAAATGCATTCGTTTGACTTCGGAGGCTATTCGCAATCACAATATACATGATGCGTGCGTAAGTCAGCCATCCTTCTTCCTCTTGCAGAATGATCTGTCACTCTTGTCAGAATAATAACGAAGCAGTCGTATAACGGTAATGTCGCGTTCCCACTTCATGTTCCGGTTCGAGAAGTGTACTTATATGCCATTTAAGGAAATAAATGACCGTTCTTCCAACGAAGGTCGAATAATAAAGTTTTCCCTCCCCTCAGCTTTATATCCTTCTCCTCGTTTTTCGGTCACATAAACCTTTACGCATTTGTCTAAGAAGACTTCTTCTTCTTCTTCTTCTTCTTCTTCTTCTTCTTCTTCTTCTTCTTCTTCTTCTTCTTCTTCTTCTTCTTCTTCTTCTTCTTCTTCTTCTTCTTCTTCTTCTTTTTCTTCATAGTCATCAGCATCATCACCTCACCTTCTTTTTCTTCATAACCACCGCCATCATCTTCTCTGGGCACACTATTGATACAACGCCCGAAAGCGGTCCGCTTAGAACGTGGGTCTCCAGTGCCTCAAAGATCGGAGGCATTACCCGTTTTCTGTACCTCGTTTGGTTTTATACTGCCTCCGTGATCAGTCCACCTTCGACCAAATGACGCGAAACGATAACGTCATCACGTGATGTCACGTGATGCGGCGCCATATTGACTTCAGGTTCACGTCACGAAATTTTGATGACCTGACGCTGACGTCATGATGACGTCATAGTGCAATATCATCACAAAAGGGTGTGTTTGTTCGCGCATTAGTCGCGTGGAGGCTGCCGACTCCTGCGGTGACCTTTCGCGCTTGTATGATACATCTAAGGTACTCATCTTGGTAGTTTTTCCCGTCTTGTGCTCCGTTATTTGCGCTGCTCTAATGCTGCTCTAGCAACCAGCTCTAATGAGCACGTTTCTTCATGTTGACCGATGATTCGTACATTATGAAATCAGTACTTTGCGAGACTGAGGTTTCTTTTTCCCTCTCTATTCTTCTGTACAGGCGGCTAGCAACGCTAGTAGCGCCGGCGTCGTTAGCAGCAGCCAGAGCCTGGTGGTCAGCGGTAGCCACCATCACCACCATCACAGCGGCGCTGGCGGCCACGGTGGCGTGAGCGGCGGTTGCCACGCCGCGCTGTGCCGCGCTTCGCGCGACGCCATGGAGGAACAGGCCGGGCCCTGGCCCGGCTACGAGGGCCGGCAGGACCCGGCCGTGCTCGCCCAAGAGGACATGGACATGTTCTTCCACTCGCTGCAAGACGGAGCGGGTCCCGCCGCCGCGTCGTCGTACTACGGGAACCCCGCCGCCAGGGCCGTCCACGGATACCGGCCCGCCCACCGTGAGTGTTTGCGCACAACTCTCATCTTCTCGCGACGACATGCGTTGACGAAGTCTTAGGGGCGAATGCTTAGGCAAGTCTGCCGTTGTAGTAGCCACCGTTAGTACACAGAGCACTCACTAGATGGCGATGGCGATGTGGTGCTTGCACCGCTAGTACTCGGATTGCTCGCTAGACGGTACTGCGGCGCTCGCTCCACTCCGATGCGTGGTCACGTGTTACTGTCGGTTGTGCTGCCAAAAAATAAAAAAAGGGTGTGAATGAACAAAAAGAAACAATAAAGACGGACTCGAACAAACCAATTCAATGCATTAAAACAGTGGTATACCATGGTGTTGCTGTTGAAGTCTACCGGAATCTTTCTATTAACGTTTTGTTGAAACAGCGCAGAACTTGACACGGCATAGGGCGAATGATAATACTGGTGGAGATTTCGACTGCGCCGTTGCGTAATAAACGGAATAAGAGCACGTCCCATGGTTGGTTGCAGTACTACGGCTCTTCGTTCCGTGCGAATCGCTGGTGGCTTCCTCCCTAACCGTTGCGCTGTTACACAAAACGCGCGCGCGCTCACGACTTTGCCCCAGGGAGGATGCTCCGCCAAATGACCGCCACGTGAGAAAGAGAAGACGGGAGCACTTTTCGCTCGCGCACTTATCTTTCGCCGCTGTACTTACACGTGCGTCCCGCCCTACCACACTCTTATAACTAAGCACACAAGGAGATCCAAAGCGCTCAGCTTTGGCCCTCCTCCTCCTGCTCCTCTTCCTCGTACAACCAGACCAAGTGCCTTGCGGTTTTTGACAAAGTCACGGTGGTGGCGCCGTTTCTGCGGGATCGGAGAGCACTTCTTCGCGGCCGAAACGTCTTCGCGAGTGCTCTGCGCAGCCAGCACGCGCTGAAAAGGAGATTGCAGACCGAAACACGATCAGCCAATTACAGAAACGCGTGGCCCGAGTCGCTTGTGTATAGTAGTCTGGCTTGGAAAGCCAGAGGCAACGGATGCCTAGTCGTCGAGTGTATGTTACATATAAGAGGTTCGCGCGGGAAGGAACAGAACCTCCGCTCTAAAGAGGGATGGTGTTGAAACTACAAAGAAGCGAGATGCAAAAGAGTGTGCTCTAGGATGTGAGAGCGTAACGAGCGGCTATAGATGACAGAACATCAATAAAATAGCACGTAGTGTTATAACTACTGTGCCAACCTGCCTGTCTCGATCGTATATAGGGCCGTTTTATTCCGGAGCACACTCCATGCTGAACAGACGTTTCGCATTCTAACAAGGCGCGTGCATTAAAAAACACACCAACCGACGCACAGCCACTGGGCTGCGTTCCTTGCTTCCGATGCACGATTGCGTGGAGGGACCGTGATGACCGGTGAGGCGACCACTTACGCGCAAGGGGGCAATGAACGTGACTGATGCTCGAAATCAGCTCTCCCGTAAGAGGCACATCGTATTATTTAACAAGAGTATCAATAAAGGTGGGGAGCGTTCAACGGAGAAAGACAATTAATATTTGTCGTACAGAAACTTAAGAAGGCAGAGAAGGAGGACGAAGGGCCGTGGTGGTCATCAAAGAAGCGTGATCCGATCCAGTTTCGTGAAGCCTCTATATGACCTTCCGCTGAGTGTTGTTTGCAACCACGGCTGTTGCGTAACGATGATCGCACTACCTTAACGGCAGACGAGAGAAGATTGCTACGATGTTCCGCCTCACCAGCGGCGTCTGGTGCGTCAAAGTCTGCGAGCATTTTAAGCGCAAGCGGAGCGTTGACGACTTCTCTGCTTGGCTGTAAATGCTTGTGACGTATTGCACCTTCGTGTCTTAGAGTTGACCTACCACGCGTACTTCCCTCGATGACAATTACTGGCTCTACTTGGACCCTTACGGAAATGCCATACATGGCCCTTATATGGGTTATATGTGGCCACATATAAGGATATATGTCAGCGTATGTGGCCACATATAAGCCTATATGTCAGCATATGTGGCTTCCATTTACCATATATGGATGTATATCTGGTGGAGTCGGTTCATGTATGGGGTTATATACAGCCATATATGACGCGGTTGGCCCATCTAAAGAGTCAAATCCGGCCTTAATAACCCAATTAACGTATACGCCACAACGAGGCACAATGGCTCTCTTCAATACGGATCAATATATTATGCCCACATAAAGGCAGTAAGTTACGAAGTGAGAACGACACGAAACCCCTCATGGCGTGTCACGAGGACACCCATATACGGGTGTGCACGCACTCTCTGTCGATGTTCGCGGCCTTCTGTATAGTGTCCACCGCTAACCTTCTCATGGTCCCTTTCTCCTTTCTCCGGGCTTTTCCGCCGGCTGCTCGTACCTGTTGACTTACACACGAAGTGGCCATTGCTGGATTTTGCAGAGCCTGTTGAGACTGTACGCTTCAAGAAAAACAAACAAGCAAAAACAACAAGTACGCGTGATTTCCCCTCGGATAATAATGACTTGCCGCGTACATGACTTTCTTCAAAGAGGCACGTCAACTCCCTTAGGGGTCACATGACTCTCCGAAGAACTCCAAAGAGCGTTGACGTGCCTCTTTAAAATCAAGCCAGGAACTCTCCGAAAGGAGTCAAATGACTCCCTTTTTCCCTAAGGGTGTACTATAAAACACTATTTTATTGCGCAGTTTCGGACTTAGGAATACAGTTTGTCGTTGGAGTTTCAGCGCTTTGACCAGTTGAGATGACATTGCCTTACATATATAATATAATATATTACAATATGATTAAATATAATATAATGTAATAGATTTGTGCGTGGAACGTGGTACTGCTCTTCTTGAGTGTCTATTCAGACGGGTATCACGCAAATAGTTTATTACATCGCGGCGGGATATGCGCAGCGTAACAAAGGACGCTTCGACGCCGCGACACGCCGATACGTTCCATGTGGCTGCCATCCACGAAGCTCGAGAAAACAATGCCGTTTAGTATTCGTGTTGGCACCTTGTTTCGATCGAGTGGAGTTCGCACATGCTGAAAGTGTTAACAACCGCGATGTCTTACAACATCAATTAACCTCCCCCATCCACCCCCGCCCCACACGGGGCGTCTCAAGGACAGCCATATGATTTTGCACGCGCTATCGTCGATGCTCGCGGCGATCAATTGATAATGGCAGCACGAAACCTAAATAAGTATCCCCTCGAAGCTTGTACATATACGGCATGTTTAAGTCGCATGCGTTTGATTTTGGGCTAGCGCAATTTCGCGACTCGAAACACCGGCGTTAGGCGGAATTGTGTGATCTCCAAAGGCAGCTGGTCTACACGCGCGCTGAAGGCATCAAAGGAGCGGCGGCACCAATATGCGGATATCTTATAAAAATTAATTCACGCAGTCTGCACATTCACTGGCAAGCTCCTTAATAGCGTGGCGCTTTTCCCTTGAATCACGCATTGACGTAGCACTAGGGCTTTTAGGAATGATCGTTAGACATATCGTTTCCACTATGCAACATCTTGTACTTTGTGCCATAAAGGTTGTACATTAGCCTGTTTGTATTGTCCACATATAGGAAACGGATCACGGCCTAGAGGTGACCCACGTATTCGTAAAGGCATCAATCGTTCTCGAGCTTCTACGAACGCGTAATAAGTGGACGTTACATAACATTTATACGCTTAGCTCTGTAGACCACCGAAACGGAACATTTCGGAACAACATTTGGAGACTTTGTGCCCCGAACTGCCGAACAATTATTTCCTGACTATACCGGAGACGCGGGCTCGTACGCCACATTACGGGCAGGTACTTCCCCAAGGAAGGACCATAGCCGTCGTTGCGGACATCCGCTGGCGAACGTCGTGCACCTCTCCTTCTCTCTCTCTCTCTCTCTCTCTAACACACACACACGTGTTTCCTCTCCCCCCCGGTGGGGGAAGGTAAGAGAGGTTCGAAGCGAAGCCGACACGCGCGTTTCTTTGGGCAACAGCGCGCGCATGTGGTCACGCGTGACCGCTTTGAGTGGCCTTTTGTTTTCCACCTGGCCAGAGGCATTTCTGATGCAAATGCGGGCCACGCCGATGGCCAGCGCTCTGTGTGCGTTCGCGCACCGCGGGCAGCGTGTATGTGTGTGCGTCTGTGCCTGCACGAGCTTTGGTTGCGCGGTTTGAGCGGGTCCCGTCGGGGAACCACCGCTGCGCTGGTGTCAGGCGACCGACGTAGCCCGAGTGACGCAGTGCTCTACGGTGCGGCCACCGCGGACAAAAGACTCGGCGACGACCGTGGCATTCGCCAAACAACGCTTGTCGGCTTCCAGGGAGCATGCACTGCATACCACCGCGCTGTTGTCTCTCCCGTCTCTTCCTTCCTCCATCCTCCTCCCCCTCTTCTCACTAGTCTCCACAACGCGTTTCCAAGCGATGGCTTCCCTCCTCCTCTTGGTCAGATGAAAAAAAAAAACGTTCAGATGTTAAAGGGAACAATGAAATCAGTAAAACGGAGGGCCACAGAATTGTTGAGGGTCTCTGAACTCAAACGCCGCTGCCATGGCTTTCTGCACGTGCTTACGCGATGCGTACGATTCTAACTGCATAGTAATCGCTATAAAAAAAAACGATTCGTCAAGGAAGTGGACTAGAAATATTGATCCATACTACCGTGTCGTTGCCCGTTGGAAAGTTTTAAAAGACCGAAAATGTTGATGTTGTTTTATTTGTTAGTATTGCGACTTCCCAAAGGCGTTGTTGCCCCCCTACATGCCAAGTTAACCTATTTCTACGTAGTTGCCTGAACACGAGCTGCTATAAAAGGGTAATTTTTTTTCTTAACAACTATAGGAAATGTCCGTTTCGTTAGAAGCCGTGGTCTAATTTTACTGGACAGTTATGGGGCACTGAGGAATGCGAACGCCATGGTTCTGCGCTCATATTCCTCCAGGAGATAAAGAAAAAAAGCACATAAACATATGGCCGCAGCACAGCACTATATAGTGGCACTGGATACAGCTGC